GAGAGAGGAGGAGGAGGAGGAGGAGGAGGAGGAGGAGGAGGAGGAGGAGGAGGAGGAGGAGAGGAGGAGGAGGAGGAGGAGGAGGAGGAGGAGGAGGAGGGAGGAGGAGGAGGAGGAGGGAGGAGGAGGAGGAGGAGGAGGAGAGGAGGAGGAGGAGGAGGAGGAGGAGGAGGAGGAGGAGGAGGAGGAGGAGGAGGAGGAGGAGGAGAGGAGGAGGAGGAGGAGGAGGAGGAGGAGGAGGAGGAGGAGGAGGAGGAGGAGGAGGAGAGGAGGAGGAGGAGGAGGAGGAGGAGGAGGGGAGGAGGAGGAGGAGGAGGAGGAGGAGGAGGAGGGCGTCGTGGAGTGAAGCTTGCACGGACACCCCGTCCGTGCCGCTACCACCCGTGCAGCAGAGACTGGTGTCGGCGTCTGTTCTCGCGCATGATTGGGGCGTGCGTTTTCAGTTGGCCTCGGTGAGTCGCGGCTCGCCGTGCGCAGCGCGACCGCGAAGCGTCCGAGGCAGGACCACCGAGGGACGCGGGGGCGACCTCCGCAGAGTTCCGTCCCCTGTGGCTCAGGCTCAGGTCGATCTCTGGCTAAGCTTCAGGCCTCGAAGTATTTCTTGCGAGTCGTGATGCGGCGGGCGTTGCTCGAAGCCGACACGTCGCCTCCCCCCAGCCGTGATGGCATTCCTGGCGTCAATCTTGTGAGCGGCTTGCTAGCGAGGACGCACGATCTTACGTTTCAGTCTTCACCTTTCAGGCGGCGCGCTTGGCTCTGCAATATCGTTGCACTGGCCTTTTTTTTCTGGACTGTACCTGGTAGTTCGTCTAGTTTGTTGGGTTTCATTGTTAACATTGTTTATATCATGATCTGTATAGCGACGCAGTTTTGGGTTCCCCTGCAGTCGTGGTGGATGGATGCCGTCATTGTGGCGGCAGGGGTAACGTTGTCTTTGTTTTGGTTAGAGTTTAGTGGCGAGGAGCGTACAACAACGCAAGCAGAAAGTTGCTTTGATGTGATGCTGGTCGAACCGATCATCTGGATTATGGCTGGCGTTCATGTGGAGGTTTGTCTGTCAGGTATTATCGTTTTCCATTTGATCGCCGTGCCCATAGGGTTGAGTTCCTTCGTGGTGGCCGCCTGCAGTTGCATGTTGTCATGTATGTGTTCGTTTGGATTGTTCGTTTGCATATCGGGGTGTACTCTTTATGTGTTTTCATTGCAAGCAGATCTGGAGCGGCTAATCGAAAACAGTTATGGAACTGCTGCAGTGGAGCTCCCACGCGGCTTCATATTTTCAGCGTGTCCTCGATTTCACCAGATTGTCGCGGTCGAATGTGTGGTAGGTCAACAATTTCGAAGTGTTCTAATTCCGGATGATCGCGCAAAGTTGGATGATATGTTGTCATTTGCGACCGACGGTGGTTTCAGGTCTATTTTGGCCACCTTCCAACATCCTAATGGCTGCTCGTTGGATGCGATGCTCGTTCCTTACAGCGGGAACTCCAGAACAGTAAAAGTGTGTATTCAATCCCAAGGCGAAGTTCGCCACGTGGGCATCGAAGAAGCGAGAAACCAGACAGCAATCCCGCGTGAAACCATGGAGCCCTCAATAGATTCTTGGGCTTACGCCACACCGCCGACTCCTTGGGTGACTGGCGGTAGTGGCATGTTGCTCCTGAGGGCCTCTTGGGTGCCTTTGTGGTGGCACGCTGGGACCGTCGTGGCGCGGTCGTGGGAACGCCCTGGGCTAAAAGAAGCGTCTGATAGCAGTGAGTTCTGTGGCTGGCATTACCGTTCTCAGTGTTTGCCGTGCACGCATGGGGAAATGTGCGAGAACCCACCTTTACAGACGGTGGGCATCTGTCAAAGTAAGTTTTGGAGCCGTCGGGAACGTCTTGGAGCGACATGTGGGGCGTGTCGGGGCCCCCTTGGACAGTCTATCGCGTGCTCGCGAAGGATTCCCTGGGGGCCACCCGACAATCGCGGCACCGCCCGCACAGTCAACAGTGGTTGCTGCGGCTGTCATTCCCAATGTACGCTGTGCACGCATGCGGAAACGGGCGAGGACCCACCTTGACAGACGGCGGGCATCTGTCAAAACACGTTTTCGAACCGTCGCGGGCGTCTTGGAGCGAGATGCCAGCCGTGTCGGGGCCCCTGGGGTGGAAGAGGGTGTGCAGAGATGCGGGAATGGATTGGCGAGGCCGTCTGCAGTGCTGCCGAGGCGGACCTCTCGAGGGTCAGGAGGTGGCAGTTCGGAGCATTAACGGAGGTTGTTTGAAGTTCGTTGGGAACGCTATTCTCGGTGTTCGCCGCGCCCGCATGGGGAAGCGGGCGAGAACCCACCTTTACAGACGGTGGGCATCTGTCAAAACACGTTTTGGAGCCGTCGTGGGCGTCTTCGGGCGAGATGTGGGGCGTGCTGGGCCCTTCGGACAGTCCACCGTGTGCTCGCGAAGGATTCCCCCGGGATGTCCGGCAATCGCGGCACCGCCCGCTCCGCCAATAGTAATGTCTGCGGCTGACATTTTGAGCGTTCGCCGTGCACGCATGTGGGAAGAGCGAAAACCCACGTTTACAGTCTGCGGGCATATGTCGCAATACCAGAATAATGATTTTCGAAAGGCCTTCGGAACATCCCGGCACAGTGTCTAGGCTACGGGTCTGAGGCCACTCGGATGGCAAATGGGGTCTCGTGGGAGGCGTCCCGGGGGCGTTTGGGAGGCAGTTATTGAACCTCTTGGGGGCCCTCTGGGGGATTCCTGGATTTCTTTGTGGGGCCTCTTGGAGCTCTCTGGGGGCCTGTTCGGGCCTTTTTGGGGCAACTGGTGGGCGCTTTAGGGTCGAAGGCTCGAAATGTCCGTTCGGGTTTCCCCTCTGGGCCCCCTCTTGGCGCTGTCCTGGGGCTCCCCTGAGTCGTTTTGTAAGTTTCTTGAGCGGTCTTTGGGGCCCTCTGAGGTCGTCTGGGAGCCCTCTTGGGGGCCTGTTGGGACGTTTTGGGGCGATCTAGAAGGTTTCTTGGGCCGTCTTGGACTGTGTCAATGCACAAAAGGCGAAAAATACACTGCTTCGGAAACAAATGAGGCGATGTTTGCTCTTTGAGGCCGTCTTGGGACGCCTGCCTCTTGGGGGCTTCTTGTGGCGTCTTGGGGGCCTCTTGGACCGTCTGGAGGCCAGCGTGAGCGTTTTGGATCTATCTTTCGTCGGCTCGTGGCTCTCTCGGACCGTCCGGAGGGCCTCTTGGCGCCCTCTTGGCCTGTTTTGGGACCCTCTGTCCCCCCGTGAAGCGCTCGGGCGGTACCCGATGGACCCCCCCTTCCAACTCAACTGGACCGGGCTCCCAGGGGAGGGGTTCTGGGGAGGGGGAAGCATCTCACACGCCGATGGATCCCAAGGAGTCGGCAGATTTTGCCACAGGGGTGTCATCCTTGAACTGCGCATGGCGATGCCAACGTTGCCTCGCGTCTGCTCGTGACTGGGGGAATATCGCAACAGAAAATTATGACGGCATCTCACTGCCTAGTTTGCCTCCAGCAGCACCGCGATCTACCGCAGATCCTGGGCCAGGATTGCCGCTGCGCAGGGAGCTGCTGCGTAATGGTCAACGCGATTTGTTTCTCGCGATATTTGAGAGATGGCGTCCGCTAGTGTACCACGAGACTACATCTATTCTGCAGCAGTGGGATCCTACTACAACCCAGCTTGCGACACAAGTACGGCACTTAGCAGAGCAGAGGCGCCGTGCGGAATTTGACGAGGCGAGCGCCTTGATCCTAGATTTGCAACTTGTGGAGTCGGGCCCACACCAGGGGCAAACCATGGGCCGTCCAGGCGTCCGCCCGTTCTGGGTTAGGCACACCGGGGGCTTCCTGACTGTCGTCCTGGCGTCGCCCCGTTTTTATTTTCAGTGTATATTGACGTGGTTGTGCGGAGTGCGCGACTTCATCTTGAAATGGTCTGTCTTGCCCGTGGCAGTTAAGTTCAAGCTGGGAGGGGGGAGACGGCCATCCCCCGCGTCCCAGCACTTGCCCAGTGCTTGCAATTATGCAACTTCTCGCGCGATCTGCACGAGTTTGTGTGTTCATTTCTCTCGTTGGTGGCGCACGGCCCGATGCGACTGACCCTCTGGGCAGGCACCCGTGTGCATCCCACATCAGGGGCGAGGCCTGCCGCCGCCCTGGCGCTTCCTGCACCTGGGGTGGCAGGTCTCGTCGTCCCTGTGTGGGTGGTCGTCTTCTTTGCCTCGTGTCTTGGTGGCGGTCCTGCCACCGTGCGCACTGGCGCCCCCCCCCACTCTCCCCTTACAGCAAGGCCTGTATGGTGTGGGCGGGGATAGGAGACGCGGTCTCCCGCCGTTGCAGGTTCGGTCAAAAAACAGAGGGGTGTCGCCTCCAGCCCTCTGTTTTTCAAACTGATGAGGTTGGAAAGAAAAAATGCAGCAGTGGGATCATACTACAACCCAGCTTGCGACACAATTACGGCACTTAGCAGAGCAGAGGCGCCGTGCGGAATTTGACGAGGCGAGCGCCTTGATCCTAGATTTGCAAATCGTGGCTTTGCGTGTATCGTCGCAGTTTGGAGCCAGGGGCTTAGGTATTGCGACGTGTTGGCCAATTGTGATAAAGTTTGTCCTTGGCTTTGATCCTCTTAACCATCTCGTATACGTCTGGCCTGTATTGCCTCTTATTTCTCCGCCGTTGCCAGATATCGAAAGCCACCGCGGGTGGACCGCGCGCGTGTGGACTATGATGGCGAGGCGCATACCATGGGCGCCTCCAGTAGCTGGGTACCAGCGCAAGCAGGGCCATCAATCGAGCGGCCCACGGCAAGTCCCGCCGCCGTGCCAGCCCAATGTTGTCGAGGCGAGCGTTTATGCCCGATGCCATCCCCTGCAGTGTTGGGATTCGCGCATGCGAGAAAAGTGAGCAGTGGCAGCAGGCCCTGTCTGGGTAGTCGAAGGCCAGATTGTCAGATTGGATTGGGCCCCAAGGGCCAATCTGGCCTGGCCAAGCTGGATGATTTGGGTTATTCGCCAGACTGGATTCGCGTTGGCTCCCTCGCCAGATTGCCCCCGTTTGCCAGATGGGGCCTGCCAGATTGGCGCCAGATTGGCTTCGACTACCCAGATTAGCGCATGCGAGAAAAGTGAGCAGTGGCAGCAGGCCCTGTCGCTGCTCGGCGGCATGGTCAAGACGAGGCTGGAGCCCACTGTCATCCGCGACCGTGCTGGGATGAGGGCTTGCGAGAAAAGGCAGCAGAGGCAGCGGGTCCTGTCGCTGCTCAGCCGCATGCTCGCGAGACGAAATTTGAGCCCGATACCATCATCTGCAGCGCTGGGATGAGCGCTTCCGAGACATGTCAGCAGTGGCAGCGGCGGGCCCTGTCCCCCTCTCTCCTCCCCTCCCCCGCGAGCCTCAAGAGGATTGGCTCCTCCTGCTCCGTCCTGTCGCTGCTCTGCCGCATGGTCGAGACGAAACTTGAGCCCGATACCATCATCTGCAGAGCTGGTATCAGCGGCTGCGAGTAAGGTCAGCAGTGGCAGCAGGCCCTGTCGCTGCTCAGCGGCATGGTCGAGTCGAGGCTGGAGCCCACAGTCATCCGCTACCGTGCTGGGATGAGCGTTTGCGAGTGAAGTCAGCAGTGGCAGCTGGGCATCGTCGCTGCCCAGCCGCCTGCTCGAGGCGAAGCTTGAAAGCCCGATGCCATCATCTGCAACGCTGGGGTGAGTGCTTGCAAGAGAGATCAGCAGTGGCAGCGGTCCCTGTCTCTGCTCAGAATCATGGTCGAGACGAAGCTGGAGCTTGATGCCATAATCTGCAGCGCTGGGATCAGCGCTTGCGAGAAAGGTCGAAAGTTGCTGCAGGCCTCCTCCCTAGTCGGCGAGATGGTCCAGACAAGGCTAGAGCCCACTGTCATCAGCTACCGTGCTTGGATGAGCGCTTGCGAGAAAGGTCAGCAGTGGCAGCGGGCCCTGTCGCTGCTCAGCGGGATGGTCGAGACGAAATTTGAGCCCGATACCATCATCTGCAACGCTTGGACCAGCGCTTGCGGAAAGGTCAGCAGTAGCAGCAGGACGTGTCGCTGCTCAGCGAGATGGTCGAGACGAAGATGGAGCCCACTGTCATCAGCTACAGTGCTGGGATGATCGTTTGCGAGAAAGGTCAGCAGTGGCAGGACTTAGAGGGTGACTTACCTCCTCCCTTTCCGCTTCCAGGCAAAACCAAGTCATACCCCGCGCCTCCATGTCACGCAGCCTGACCGTTGCGGGCCGCCCCACGAAAGTTGTCACATATAGGACCATATTAAATGGATGCCGATTCGATTTTGTTCAGTGCTCTGCCCCAGAGGTCCCGACCCCTTCGCTGGGGCCAGTTTCTCGCCCCAGCTCCATTTTGGAGTGTCCCGGGGCCCGAGTCGGCGACTACAAAGGGTATGGTCACGCCAGGGTGTGGTTTGCGATCGGCACCGTCGGGGCCTAGGGGCGCGACATTGTCCTCGTCGGGCCTGCTCGGGGCGCGGCGGAGAGCTCTGTCGAGGTCCTCGCCTGCCCCCCAGGGTGCCTCTCAAGTGCCTCTCGTGTGTGCTGGGGCGTGGTGGAGGTATCGTGGCCAGCAAGTGCACAGCAGTCTCCCAGGGAGAGGATGCCGGGCCGCGGTGGGGAGAGCGGGGTGGGGGTCAGGGTCGAGTCCGGAGGAGGAATTGTCGGGCGCGGGGCCCCAAGAGAACTAGCCCCAGAGGGTGAGGATGCCGCGGCGTGGTGGAGGGCGGGGTGGGGGTGAGGGTCGGGTCCGGGCGGGAAATCGTCGGGTGCGGGGTCCGAAAAAAAGTGGTCCCACAGGGTGAGGATGCCGGGGCGTGGTGGAGGGCGGGGTGGGGGTCAGGGTCGGAAGAACAGTGGTTTCAGAGGGTGAGGATGCCGGGGCGTGGTGGAAGAGCCGGGTCCAAGAACACAGGTCCCCAGGAGTGGTTTGGCGGGGTGGAGATGGGAGCCTGGGTGCGTTTTGGGCCAGGAATTGTCGAGTGGGGAAGGGCGTTCAAGGCCGGGAATTGTCGGGTGGGGGGGGGGCCGAAGAACAGAGGTCCCGAGGGGTGGTCTGGCGGAGTGGAGAGGTGAGACGTGGTAAGCGCAGGGTGGGGGTCAGGGGTCGTTCCGGCCCGGAAATTGTCGGGTGGGGGGGCCGAAGAACAGAGGTCCCGAGCGGCGGTCTGCGACGTTGTCGCCACTTTCGACGGCTGCTGGTGGGTCCAGCGGAGTGAGGCACCGCGCAGACCCGAGCGGGATATCGCCGTCGCTGGGGGACTGCGATCTGCGACGTTGTCGCCACTTTCGAGGGCTGCTGGTGGGTCCAGCGGAGTGAGGCACCGCGCAGACCTGAGCGGGGCCTCGCCGTCCCTGGGGGGCTGCGATCTGCGACGCCGTTCCCACTTTCGAGGGTTGTTGGTGGGTCCAGCGGAGTGCGGCACCGCGCAGACCTGAGCGGGACCTCGCTTCCCTGGGGGCTGCTATCTGCAACGCTGTCGCCACTTTCGAGGGCTGTTGGTGAGTCCAGCGGAGTGCGGCACCGCGCAGACCTGAGCGGGGCCTCGCCGTCGCTGGGGGGGTTGCGATCGGCGACGTTGTCGCCTCTTTCGAGGGCTGCTGGTGGGTCCAGCGGAGTGCGGCACCGCGCAGCGGGGCCTCGCCGTCGCTGGGGGGGCTGCGATCGGCGACGTT